CACTAGTAAAAGTATGATTTCTCAGGTAGTCTCCCTCGTTAAACCCCCGTTGCGCCTAAATGTCACTGTTGGGCAGTCATCTTCACTCTCCAATCATGATCTCTTTCACGTATTCTTAAGCGGACTAAAGATAAATACTCATGTAAGAGATCCCAATCTGCAATTTAGAGGAATGGAGGCCAAGCCAAAAAGGAAGATAGATTTATATTTTCTCTGCAGAGGTAAATCCCACAGATTACCACCCAGATGAGAAGAGGTGAAAACCAAAGAAAGACATGCTTTACAAAATTCATCTTTTAAACAGACCTCAAAGAAATCCTAGATTTCAATTACCACTTTATTGAGAGCCATAAAGATTGATATTTACAGGCATTCACTGGGGAACCTAGAAAGTTACAGAAGCAAGGCACGTAGAACTATCTTTAATTGAAATAAAACAACGGGATCCCGGATATGCAAAGGCGGAATATGAATTTAGATACTTTCCATTCTTTTATTCTTCTTCTCAGAACTGCCCAACGCTGATAAAGAATATGGGACTATTTGGCCGCCTTCAGGATCTTTGTAGTTAAATGCTGGCATGAGATCAAAGGGGCAATACCTATCCACCGTTATCAGTGGCAACTGTTTCAACTACGATGTCCATCGACTGAAAGTAGGATTTAAGAGGAGTTTATGTCCAGGATCGAAGTAGAGCCCGAAACAATAAAATGAGATTCATCAATATATCCTTACTGCGTTAGTGGGTATTTCACTCTACCTTGGTTCTTCGATAAAACGGCTGGATATGTATAAAATGCTTACTTTTATCTCAGAAACATCGGATTTGCAGACTAACTCTCACTTAAGTTAATGTGAGTACGCCTTATTAAAAGAATACCAATCGATTTAACGTCAATCTGGTATGCGTGAACCGATAACAGACAGTATTTGTCTTCATAATCTCCATTCTGCACCCTTGATATTTCTTCTAGTTTGTTTTTCTCATTGATATCTTGTTATAGGGAACTCCTTTAGTTGCGTGTATGTATCGGAAAAAGAAACTTTCACGTGCTGAACTACAGTCAGTTTCCAACGTTCCATATAAAACGGAAATTTTTCTCGAATTTTGTCTTCAATTATGAAAACATGTCCTTTTCTACCGAATACATCGCTCGGACAGTATTTTCGCGTTCACAACTGCGCTGTTGTTCGGACCCTTTTTAACATCCTAACTGGCTCACCAGATTTGTCATTGAGGAAAATGAAACTTCTCATATAATCAGAGGTCACTACTGGGCTTATATTTGTCTTCTTCTCCGCAGGTCGTAATGCGTGCTTTCACTGTGATTTTAGAGCATATGGAAAACCTAGTCGCGATTAGTCACTTTCTCACGTAAGTGGAAACATCTGATAAAGCATTTGGGATGCTTATCGGCAACTTCCGATCTCTTTCCGCCATTCACGTCCTGACTTGATCATTTCGGCATATTAGAGACTGCCCTCACTAATGAGGGTGGCGTTATCAGCAGCGCAGCCTATCAACTCTTGCAGTGTAAGAGCCTTTCCTTTCTCTAACCTGTCGGGAGGTTACTCTGTCTACGCCAGGTCTTTTCTATCATCGTTTCTTTTTGGAAAAAGCATCTCTATAGTCAGCGACCAAACAAATGGGTGTATAGCCCGAGAAAGATGGATTTGCATCTCTGAGTGGAGGAAGAAATGCCTGAGGCCGTAATTCTATTTGTGCACCCACGGTGAAGACGATTCCCAAAGAGAGGTATGTCAAATTAAATCATAAAAATAACGAAGTCGACGCAGTTATTGCTTTGGCTCGGGGTAGTTGCCTTGGTTCAGACGTGAGTCGCGCTGATTTCCGTTTTATAAAACCAAATTTTCGGATTTCAGGCCTGTATATTGATCTTTTGCAAAATTCACGGTCTCCCAGTTACCATGGTTCCATAAATAAGACAAGCTATTTGGATTTAGCGGCAGAATAATAAAATGTAACTCGCCAGGCAGAATTGTGACTGGTGACTCTCCCTGTGTCCTATATAGCTCGACTTCATGTTTTTATGGTTAACAGCGGCAAAAAGTATCAGAAGTTTCTAGACAATACAGATCTTTTAAAAAATAATACTGGCTGCTGGGGGACGTGTTGATGAGCAGAAACCTTCGCAACTGTACCATGGAGCGGCAGAATATCGGCAAAACACGTGTATAGGCCTTTATCTAGCACCTGTGTTGTTAGTACGGTATCCTGCAACCAAGCGTATACTACTAGCTGCCTGTCGGCAGTTAAGGAATATTACGCGGTTATCCCGCTGCGGCTGATGGACTTCCGACCAAATATTTATATATCAGACTTCGGTCTGCGCCTATAGACCTCAGTTTATACCGGTTTACTTCAAGTTAGCAGTTATTTTCTGAGAAAATAAAAAACCAACAAGTCATTCTATTAAATCTATTTTTTCAGGATATTTGGTTATACTTGTCCACCCCAAATTCAGTGTGCACTCTATGTAATAAATCCTAAGATGTGTAACATTTTAGAAATATGGAAGTGTTTTTGCATCAAGGATGTGCTAACTACTTGGACTGAAACAAGTTATTGTGCAATTTGAATATAAAATGACTGCATAAATTTATGTGGGCTGCGGTTTAGTGCCCTACTTTCTCCAATAGCATTTCAATTTCATTTCGCATGCTAAGCGTAAACTACTAGTTATAAAAACATCCAATGATGGGCCTCATCGCTAGTCGCTCACATGAATTTAGTGATACAAACTCATTTATGAGGCACCAAATGAGGTAAACGTGGGATTAATTTGTAGGTATTGACGCGTTTAACAAACGTGTTAATCTCAAGATGCATGCCGAAAGTCTATGCTTTGACATCAGTAGCACAAAACGTTAGAAAACATATCAACTCTGTCTACAAGAAAGGTCGCGTCTTTCTTCATGTTACAGCTTGGGTGCTCAAGGCGTTACCTTTTGGTTTCTTCGTCTGCCCAACCGCTTAAAGTGGCTTTTCTCCAACATAAATACCCCAAGCCAATTGCGTGATTATAATCCGAAAAGACGCTCTGACTCACCTATCCACCTACAAGTAAGGGTAGATGGAAATCAAATGGAAACAACTTAACTATGAGTGGATTCCATGAGTAAAGTATATTTTTAAGCCTGCCGATCGAGATATCTCCAATTAAGCATGTTTGGTGAAGTCTCCCTAGAAATGACTTACAAATAATTTTATACAGAAACAAATCTACTTTGTGTTTCGACTTCCATGCTAAACCTGCATGGAAATTCGGAGAATTATGCGCTGAAATTCCGTACGCAGAGTCCCAAATATAAATTAAACCATCGGACAAATTACTGACCCTCGAATGTCAACAGTTACAAGTAATAAACTTGATAATTTCCTGTCATTCGAATGCGTATATTTAAGTCCCAAAAAACCAACCGAATTTTACGGGTTGTCAATTTCAGTACTTCAGCTGACATTTGATCTACGCATAACTATCCAGTTCCCCGCCCAGCTTGGAAAAAAATTCGGCGTGGTGGTCGGATCAGCTAGCATCCACCATTCAATGTCTACTGGAATTCATAGAGAGGAGCAAGGTCTGTTAATATCTAAACTTAGGAACGCATGAACTACTGCCAATAGAAGCGAAGACACGAGTCCCAGTAAGTAGTCTTGAAGGAGGAGACACGTTCGCTGGGACAACAGCTTTATTAGCCTGAAGTTTCGGGTTCCTGCTCGAACCCATCATCAGAGACAACAGCAGATATGGGTGATTCATACACCAGGGGCTGCAGTATTTATAGGATGCAGTCGCCATGCTACCGCATTCCTATGAATATTCACGGCTCGCCCTTCATCCGGATCGTTGCACGTGGCGTGTTAATTGGTGCAATTTCATCTCGTTTGTTGGAAGCTGGTGTTATGATTGCTCGACCATCTGATGCATCGATCCTGGTGTTGGGAGAAGTGTTCACCTGTGCGCTCCCCGCGTGTCTAATTACTCCGCCTACGCGAAGTCTCAGCATCGAGTATGGAAGGCGAAGGTCATTGCACTTGTTAATAGACTAGGGGCCTGTAAACCATGACTCAAGCAGCTCCCGGCTCACGCAGTTGTCGCCTCTTGCGAGAATTTCGGCCTCGTCGAATTTGAATTCGTGGCTAGAACCCGTCGAATGAGCCGCAACTTGGGAGCTGGCGTCATTTCTCCGTATCGCTGCAGCGGGTTCAGCCATTCTCGTTCGGAGCTGTCTTCCGGTTTCTCCGACGTAGTTCCTTTGTCCGCAACTGCACCATATCCGATAAACGACTCCCGACGTTTCTTGCCATGGCAGTGGCTCTTTCGGTTTCAGTGCCTGACGCCCCATGGTTGCCTCCGGTCTGTGTGCAACTCCAACCCCAAGTGGTGCGAGAAGGCGGCCGACAGCTTCCGAAACGTTCTTGACATACGGAAGCGCCTGCCAAGAGTTGGTGTCCGTGCGGTTAGGCCTTTCGTCCCTTTTGCGTATGCACCGGTTGACGCAGTTGCGCGGGTAGTCATTGGCTTTGAAGACCCTTCGGGGGTATTGTAGTTCGGCGATTTTGTCTTTCGGCCCACTGTAGTGCGTTTCGACACGCCTATAGAGCGTCCTTACAGAACTGCGTTTGTGGCTGATTGGGTGGTTACTGTTGAAGTTCAGTACTTGCATCGTATTTGTCGCCTTCCTAAACACTTTGGTCTTTAGTCCATCACAATCCTTGCGGCATACAAGGACATCCAGGGAGGCCAGCTGGTTGTTCTCTTCCGCCTCTATCGGGAATTGAATGTCCGGGAAGACAGCGTTGAGATGTTCTTGGAATGTCAACACTTGATCCCGTCCGATGACGACGAAGGTGCCATCCACATACCGGGCCCAGAACTTCGGCCTGTGATGTTGGAAGACCAGCGACTCTTACCGTTGTAGGACGGCCTCGGCGATGAATCCGGAAATCGGCGAACCCAGTGGTGTGACCTTCACCTGCTCGCAGATTGTCCCGTCGAACGTCAAGTACGTCCTGAGCCAGAGCTTCAGGAGCTGAAGGACTTGGGTGTGTCCAAGGCGATTATCCGTTTCATCGTATTTGCTTTTTAGAAGCAGCTCGATTGTCTCGTTCGCCAGGTCCTGGGGAACAGAAGTAAAAACAGATGTAATATCAATAGATACCATGACCTCATTTGGATGGAGGCTTACCCCTTTGAGTTCCTCCAGGAATTGTGCTGACGAAGAGACCGTGGTGTCTGACTCAGCAGTCAGAAACTTGAGACACCGGAACAGCCACTTAACCAGTCCGTACGTTGGAGTCCTTTTGAGCGACACGATGGGTCGGAGAGGAGCGCCGTCTTTGTGCACCTTAGGGAGGCCATAGAATCGGGCCAAAGCCGTATCCTGGGGTCTCGCCATGCGTCCGTCGGTCGGTGTTACTGCACCTGAGTTCTCCAAGGCCAACAACGTAGCATTAATTTCGCGTGTCAGCGCTTTTACAGGGTTCGTTGCACATGGGACATGGAACTGTCGGTCCTGCAGTAAACCTTTGGCTTTTTGAAGATGGTCTGTCCTGTCTAGCCCAATCGTGGAGCGTTCCTTGTCCGCTGGCACGATGACCAAGTCTTTGTCCGTCTTGAGTTCTCTAAGCGCATCACGTTCGACCTTGGAAAGCACTTCCCGCGGCCTGTGGGCCATTAGGAGAGACGACACTTGGTGTCGAATGAGGCTCTTGGTCTCCTCCGTTGCCTCCGTCTGACTGAGGATTGATTCCACTGCTGCAATCATGTTAACAGGTTTGGCGTCAGCCGTGTTAAATGAAGCTTCGTGCCGTAAAACCTGCATCTGATCCTTCATCAGCTCCTTTGACAACAGATTGTGCACCAGCTTGTCTTTTCTGGGAGACATTGGATTGGGCATCTTTCGGAATTTGTTCTCCAGTGCTGCGTCGCGTACCATTCTCTGTTCGCGGGCTTGTTCACTCACCCTCTTCAGGAGCAGATCTGTACCGATCTCACCCATGAACTCACAGTATCTGGTCTTTTTTGGTCAATCCTTTGACGGTACTTGCGAAGTCTCGCGTTGCAATCTTGGAGGAGGACCCGGATCATCCTTCTGCCGTGCTGAAATACTGTTCGTCTCACCAACTCCATGTTAATCGGGGGCTTGTATGAAACACATTTTGGTAACACATTATTGTCGAGACACCTGTGCAGAAACCGGATCTGCGAATACGTAGAGGCCTCCCGAAGGGCGAAGGTTTCCCATCGCCGGGCCGATCGGAGCGCATCGCGCCCAAATACATTGTCAATAGAAGCGAAGAGACGAGTCCCAGGAAGTAGTCTTGAAGAAGGAGACATGTTCGCTGGGACAAGAGCTTTATTAGCCTGACGTTTCGGGTTCCTGCTCGAACCCATCATTAGAGACAACAGCAGATATGGGTGATTCATGCACCAGGGGCTGCAGTATTTATAGGAAGCAGTCGCCATCCTACCACAGTCCTATGAATATTACTCCGCCTGAGACCTCGTCTAGGTGGAGTAATTGGCCACGCGGGGAGTGCACATGTGAACACTTCTCCCAACACCAGGAGCGATGCGTCAGATGGTCGAGCAATCACCACACCAGCATCCAACACACGAGATGAAATTGCAGCAATTAACGACGCGAACGTCGGCCATCAAGCAATTAACACACCACGTGCAACGATCCCGGATGAAGGAGGGAGCCGGGAATGTTAATAGGAACGCGGTAGCATGGCGACTGCATCCTATAAATACTGCAGCCCCTGGCGCATGAATCACCCATATCTGCTGTTGTTTCTGTTGATGGGTTCGAGCTGGGACCCGAAACGTCAGGCTAATAAAGCTCTTGTCCCAGCGATCGTGTCTCATTCTTCAAGCATGAACTGCTGTTGTTGTGTCCTTACTCGTATTTTTGGAGTTGTTGTTGTTGCTGCTTCAACCTCACTGTGGTTACCGTCGCCTACGTGTACACGACAGTCCGACTGTTGCAAGCGACAGATTCCCCGCCTGCCCCCTGGAGTGAGCGCAGGATCGATTGTGTGTGCTGAATCCATTTATAGTTGGAGTTGGACGAGCTATCGTGGCATCTACAACACTCTCTCCTCTATCATCCGTCCGGCACCATTGGCTGGGCAATCTAAGGACGACCCAAAATGAGAGCGGCTGCAGTGACTGGCAGCCCGTCTGCGCGGGCCACACGCGTGACTTGGTTTCCCACAGCATGTACCAGGCCTTTGTGAGTGCGGCTGGGATCCCACATCAGTGAGAGTACCAAAAAGATCACATTGAGGAAGGGCCATTTCAGCCTGATTTATAGTTACCCAGTCACTCCAAACCGCTAACCATGAGGAACAAGTTTTCCCATCCGTTGGCAGCCTTCCAAGCAACGACCCCCAGAGCGTCAGATTTGTTTCAGTGAGGATGTGATGTGGGATTGTATTCTGCGAGGTCGTTTTCACTCACTCTTTCCACTAGCATGCACTAGTCGACTGTCCAAGACTGTCAAATCATAGGCTGTGGGATTTGGCACGGTGGCTGACATGACTGAGTGGCCCGCCCACGCTTGCTTTGTACAAACTGGTTCCCTCAGCAGGCCGTCCACATACGTGAAATGTACATGTTATTACATGCGACTGTTTACCCTCCATACCGCCGCTGGAAAAGTAAAACGCATGCCTGCTGCATAAGTGATACATGACATGTGGCAGAGGGGTGTTGCGTAAGCACGTGTTGTGGAGCAGGTTCGTGTGTTACGTAGAGCGTGTGTTTGTGTTGGTAAGGCGAACTGTGGTAAAGGGATCCTGAATGTGCTATTTCAGTCAAGATTTGCCTGGAAGCGCATGTGGCCAATTGGGTTCAAGGCGCGACCGAATGTCCTGGGGCAGCGTTGACAAGTGAAGTGGGAGTGGGCGATGTATTTTGGAGGTCCTGGTGTTGGCCCGACCGTTGCAGTGCGACTAATTCGCAAGGAGTTTAAAAGGACCCTATGTGATTGGAAAATAGGGCTACGATGGGACCAGTTTCGGGCCTGAGTCCACACTGCTGTTGTTGCATGTAGTGGTGGTTGTGGAGGGGGGATTTGAGAGTCCATCGATATGCTCGTTTCCACGGTGTTATTGGTGATGATGACGGTTTGTATGGAAACTGGTAGGTGGGACAGGTTGTCAAAGGGGTGGATCCAAAGAGGTCCAACCAGTCTAATACGTGTTCTGAACGTCGCTCAGCAAAGCGACAAGTTGAAAAACACTATCATTCCAATGTGGAGTTGCCGCTCCGCCTGCACAGAACCCTCCGAACATCCTAATTTCAACATAATTTTCCACGGTCGATCTTAGTTGACTGTACTGAACACCTTTGTCGAATCTAAAGAGTGGCGTAGTCTGGTCCGCATTTCTTGGCACTTCTCCTTCAACTTATGAACAACAAAGATTATGCCCATGGCCCCGCGGTTCCCTCGAAATCCACATTTTCTTTCAGGGAGAAGTCTTTGCGCTGGCGAAGGTTAGAATGATTGAGCAGAACGCGGGCGAAATTTTGCCTGCCATCTTGAGGACAGAATTGCCTCTGTAGTTGTCATGACGTTGCCAGTGTGTTTTGTGCTTATATAAGTGAGTGATGGTGGCGTCTTTGAAGCCCGAGGGACTTGCCCTCGTCTGCGCATCTGGAAAAGCGAGATGCGTTTGTCCATCATCCGAGGGGCGACGTGCTTTCAGCTTACATTTGGAAGGTAGCCAGCGTCTTCTGCTTTGCTGTTGGACACCTGATGAACGGATGTTATGGTTTCTTCCAATGAGGACAAACAGTCACGATTTATCTTTGTCCTCATCAGAAGGAGTCTGTTGACGGTTTCGTAAGATATTGTGAATGGCCAATTGAGGCCATCCTTTAAGTGCTCATCCTGAAGATCCCTAATTTTCGATTTTTTAATTAAGAGCGTTGTCCCATCGGAAGAGAGCAACGAAACAGCGTTCTCAGTTTGGAGCCTCTGGTCGTCTTGATAGGCGCAAAGAAGTTTTTCATTTCATTGCGGTCTGAGTACTTTGTATTTCGTCTGCCTCGGGAGCCGTGGTGCTCAGTGGAATGAATGGCGTTTTACAGTTGGTCTCATTGCGTCTGAACAGTGACATTTGTTTACAAAGTTTGCATTTGTTCCAGACGGAAATTCAGGTGATTGCGAAAATCTGACCGCTCAAAGGCTAACTCCAGCCAGTTAACTTACCTGGCGTTCATTTTCCTTGAAGACGCCTACGGTGTGATGGTCGCCTAGCAATCAGCACGGCATGCCAACTTCGTCACTTACACTGTATGCTGGCTGAAATTGCGAACGAGGACGTACTCCAGCGTTTGTTATTGGCTCCATCGAGGGTGCATTCGTTGGTCGGACCTGCAGGGGGAGAAGATCATTGCTGCTGCAGCTGCCGAACCTCTGGCGACCTAACACACCCCACCAGGTAGCGTCGCCTGCGAAGACGCAGTTATTAAAGTCACCAAAGACAATCTACTTGTTCGCCTTCGACACAGTTACTACGAGGTTGGGCAGGTCTTCATAGTATTGGCTCTTCACGTCATCGGAAATGGTAATTTGGGATGCGAACACTTTCACGACGGTAGAATATCTGTTCCCCTGGTTGTTGGTGCCCTGCTGCAGACAGGGGTGTCGCCCTACAACATCTTTCTTTATGGCAAAGACGATTCCAGTATGTCGTCGATCTATCTCTGAACGTTATCTCCAGAGGAAGGTGTACCAGACACGCCCCTATTTATCCTTCTTTTGAGAAGTAGGCCTCACGGGGAGTCCCAATATTTATCTTGTAGCAAGCCAATTCCCCGCTGACCAGAGTTATCCTCTTTTCTGTTCGACTGCTCAATTGGTTGTCCAAAAGAGAATGAACATCTTAGACTGTCAGAGTTGGCAGTGTCGATCTAGCAGCCTGTGGGGATCGGATGGGGACAGGGATGGGTGTTTTGTACGATATGGTATTTCGATCGCATGTCTTGCCTCTAAAAGTCACAGTTGGCTCAACGACGGTGTGATGTGTAAGTATATTTAGGGTCCTCTCCGCGGGAGAGGTTAAGCAGTGCTGCCTCTAAATAGGACTGCTTAGGCATCTCAAGCGGCCGCCGAATTTTACTATAGGTCACAACTTTGGGTTAATTGAAAGAGAACCCGCATTACCCCGGGCCTCTTACACGGTCGCTGTCGCTTACTCTGTGGGATTTTTGTGCTTGGGGAAAAGCGAATAGGAACAGAGCACAGGACTATCGGGTGTGGAGACACACCGTAGATATCTTCATCTGGTTTAGTCTTCGGATCGAGGCGAGTGTGGTCGCTAAGCCGAGCATAGCTTCAGGGAGAAACACACGGGATCTGGGTGCCGGTTAAAAGCCGTTCGTAGCATGTGGGCCAGGCTCATGGACAACCTGTCTCTCCTCCATTGTGTAACTCCTCACCAAACGTCTTCTACGATCCTCCGTGTGCTGTTTATTTCTGAGACAGTCCACATAACGTCCTGATCAATATTAACTGAAAGTAAGCTGCTGTTCACTGGCACTGAGGAGAATGGCTTTTACTAGTATATTCTTTCCTGTAACAGATAAGAGCCGGTCGCCTCTGGTCGCGTCCATGATGCACAAAGTTACATAACGATGATCCCAGTCATACGTCTATTTATTTTGGCTGCTGAGATATTTCAACAGTCCTCGAGGCGAATTTCTTTGTAACCTGTGCTGTCTAACTGGAGGACCTTGTGCGATGTCCATGAACATACACTATTAATCCGCAACGAGAAAACAAATGAGCTGCATTTTTCTATCGGCGTAAACCAGGTCCTGCAGACCACCTCTTGTGTGAACAGGCAAACAGTGAAATAGGTACAGTCATTATATGAGTTGGCGGTAAACCTCGACTGAGAAACACGTGTAAATAATTTCAACAGATTAGATGCCAGCAAACCCTGCAATGGAGACAGTGTTGGCATCAGAGATTCATAAATATTC